GTACAAATGTTTACAAATAAAATAAAGAATGAATGACTTAATTTGATTCTTGTGTATTTAATGCACTAGTCAATTGAAACCCCCGCCCCCCGACCCCCGGGGAATACCGGGGAATTTAACTTTTGAGTGGTGTTAAAATGAAACATTTCCCCCGGTAGTCGGGGGCACATTCATTGTTAAAATCCCCGCTACTGTTGCCCCGCTATTTTGATCAAGTAGTAAATAATAAAACAAACACCTTTTAATCAAATTTTCTGTGATACACAGGGTTAGTTTTTGCACAATCCTTTGTACTCATTTGCATGCTACATGAGGCTCAACAGGACGGAGAAAAACATGTGTAATTGAGTTTCTTTTAAAAAATTTTCATGCAAGGAAAAATAAACAAATAAAAAAGCAGGATTAAATACCAAGGCCTTCAGGGTATTGCCGAACTCTAGTTTCCAGCCTCATACATGTTCAAACGCGCGTTAAAATCCACGCCCTTTGCCCCGCTTCGAAAACAATTCATCAAAATCCCGACCCCCCGGGGCAATCTTGCTGTTAAAACCACGTTAAAAACGCATCACGTCCCCGTTCAGTGCCCCGCTAGACCCGGGGGACGGGGCGCGAGGGTTTCAATTGACTAGTGCATAATCAGCCAAATGATTAAGAGAGCCAGACGTACGATTTCGTTACAAATACGCCCGACGAAGTCCTGCTAATATATTTACCATTTACATGACTAATTTGCTAGTAAGATGTATAACTTCCACAATTTCTCATAAACAACCATCAAGCAAAATACAGGCTGTTATATGATATACTAGTCAAAATRGTGCAAACTAGTGGTAAACTAGTGAAGTACAAACACTTTTAAGTGTTTAAAAACACTAAAACTGTGCAACATAAATACCACTAAATTATCCTAATTCTATTGTTTAATTGGCACTATTTTGTTTATTAAATAGTGCAAAGTGTTGGACGCTTTTATTTGTACTCTATGAGTTACGACTGTGTTTTTAAAGAAATAGTCGTACATGCAATAGAACTTAAAAAAGTAGGTCAGATAACTTACTGACGTTTTGTTCGTCAGAGTCCGAAACGTCAGTAATTTATTTTGCCTACTTTTTTCATGATATACTAGATCATGCTCCATCTTGAATTTGACTGAAAGTACATATTGAACATATATTTAATGCAAACACTGTAGAATATGTAGAGCATAAACCCCGTGAAAAAGATATTACAATGCCTTATTATGCTCCAATTGCATTGTTTTCTTTTGCATCTATTTATTTGACTTTCACACTTTGATAGTCAAGATTTGTTTCACGGGTTAAATGACTTCAATATATTGTACGTTGTTAAGMCAAAACATCAACGACACAGCCTCTGCAGGCTACAGGAAACATTCGCGAAATGTGAGTGTCGCATCAACAGTATCGAAACAGTAAAAAATAGTACTAAATCAGGCTAATTCCTTTGTTTTCTATTATCTAATCAACACTATTTACTCAGTGGAGCCGACGCACTTTTAAAATCCGTGAAACTATACTAATTCAAAACAATTTATACTCAGTAATTAGTAATTATAAATCTGCAAAACAATTATTATTACCTC